CTCTTTTGGGTCCTGTTACAAAATCCCCAATCTCCCCCCAATTCCTCTTCCCCTACTATGCCCCTGTCCAGCAGGAAGTAGCTCGAAGATCACAGCGACCCACTCCCCACAATAGAGGAAAAAGGGAGGAACGTAGGGACCCCATGGACGCCTGAACAGGGACACACCCTGGCAATATGGCGCCCTTCCTGGTTCTCCGCAGTAGACAAGCTCACTGGCGCCAACACCCAAGCCCACCCACGCCAAACCTCAGCCAGACACAGGTCAAGGCTCACCTCCTGCCCAGCCCCGTCCAATCAAATACCGCCCCGTCCACTCTCTCTCCCGCCACGGAGCACAGCACCCTATAAATGTACGCGCAGTGCTTGAATAAAGCGGAACTGCTCTGGCAAACTGTTAGCCCGGGTCTCGCGTGCTTCCTTTGTTCCGTGCACCCTTTCACTGGACACTGCAGGTGCTGAGCAGCGTCCCTGGCCTCCACCCATTCCATGCCACGACCTCTCCCAGTGGTGACAACCACACGTCACCACACATGGCCCAGTGTCCCCTGGGGGTAGAATCACCCTGTGGGTGAGACCCCTGCATTTAGCACCACCACTCAGCAACGGCTAGTGTACAGATGGTGCTCGGTGCTGACAGAGAATCAGGCATGCCTGCCTCCGGATGGAAGAGCACATATCCTCCTGAGCAGTTACCCTGGTCCTGCCTAAGCCCCAAGGAAGCCTCTTGATCCAGGACCCAAGCCCCAGTTTCCAGGATGTACAGGGGGCAACAGAACAGGTTCTAAGACACCGTGAGGCCACCATTGGCATGATCCAATCGAGGAAATCCAGCTTCTTTAGTGAATAAATTGCGAAGAGAAATAAAGGGGGGCATTTGAGAGTTGAAAGAGACTTAGGAGATGTATCTATCCACCAAAAATTCTGGGTCTTATCTGGGGCTTGTTTCAAAGCCTAAAAAATTAAGAGTTTTTGATACAATTGGAAAATGCAAACATTGTCTGGGTATTTGATGATTTTAAACAATTATTTTTTATTTCTTATTTTTTTTATTTTGGCAGCTGGCCAGTACAAGGATCCAAACCCTTGACCTTGGTGTTATAAGGATGCGCTCCAACCTACCGAGCTAACCAGCCAGCCCAAAAAAGACTGCCCATCTTGAAATGCACAATATGATTAGCAACTGTCACTCTAGAGCACCAGAACTTATCCTTCCTACCTAACTGTAACTTTGTAACTTTGTACCAGTCCACCAAGCTTTCCCCAGGCTCCCTCTGCCCCCAGGGTTTCTTTTTGAGGTGCTGGAAATGTGCTGGAACTACATAGAGATGGTCATCACACAGCGTTGTGAATGCACTAAATGCTACTGAACTGTACAGTTTAAAATGGTTAATTGTATATTATGTGACTCCTGCGTCAACAGAAACAAACAAAAAAAGACTTCATTTTCCCCCAAGGGTAAGATAAGAATCCTACAGGGAATCCCGGAGGTCTGGGCAAAGTTCTGTCCCTCCAAACAACCCCAGGTCTGCAGGAAGCTGCATGTGCCCAGCATGGCAGGACCGCAGTGGGGACGACGGGGTCCGGAGGGTGGGGTGGTGTCTGCAGGTGGTCAGCGGGAGGTGGAGAGGTGAGCAGCAACATGGGGCTGGCAGGCTGGCAGGGTACACGGCACGTGTTCACGCTTTCATCCCACAAACAGGCATCGAGCGACCCTCCTTCAGGTTACAAGTCATTTCACCTTTGCATGCCTCAGTTTCCTCATCTGTAAAATGGGACAATGCCTCCCTCTGTGGCTCTGAGGAGTGATGGAAAGAGTTAATTCAAGCCCAGGAGGCAGGCACCCGGGCTGCACTCCCTGAGTGTTTGTGACTCTTGCTTATTATAATAATATTTTTAGGACACAGCAACCCACCCAAGTGTGAGGGAGTTCCCCCACCTTTCTTCCCTATCCACTATCTCTTCTGATCACAGAATCCTGCTTGTACTCTGGGGTATCCTACCCTCCCCCAGTTTCAGCCTGGGCCATCATGAGGGGCTGAGTCTGCCTCCTTTGCACAGCAGGCCAATGAGAATCAGCCTCGGGGTGTTTTCTGTGATTATTGGGAAAGCGGTGCCATCCTCCTACAAGGGCTCCTGGAATGTCAACCCAGAGATTCCAGATTCCACTGCTCAAAGTGAGTTCACCAGACTGAAGGCAACGTAGAAGAAAGAAGAGCTGAGAGATGGACAGAGAAAAATTTGTAATGATATTGCCAGACCCCTGGATCCAGCCGTGCCTGAAGCCATCCAACATGCCACAGAACTTCCTTCTTGTCTCAAGCTGGTTTCTGCTCTTTGCTGGTCACTCGAAACAAAAAGTGTCCAGCCTCAAAATGCAAAGAGGCAGGACTTCAGGAACAGCTGGATCTAGGACCTACAGCCCCCAGGCCTCTATCCCCACCTCTGCTCATCTCTGCAGGCAGCTTTATTCTGTCTCTTTTTTGCTTTCTCTTAACAGTCTTCATGACGTTCCTTACATCCCACTTTTTAAGTTTCCACCAATGGACAGAGTCTTATTCAGGTGCTTAAAAACCGCAGGGCACCTGGAAAGATCTAGAAACAATGTCCAACCCAGTAGCAATGGGCACCCCTGGTGCCCAGACTGCAGTCTGTAAATACTGCACCTACCCTCAGTCCTTGGCCAGGAATAGGAACAGGTCAGAACCTGCAGCCCCTGGAGAACCACAGGCTTGGAAGGTGCTGAGCAGCCAATCTAAGGAGGCTGGGCAGGCTGGGCAAGCAAGGCCACGGTACTGTGTCACTTCCTTACCACCAGGCCGGCATACGATGCTGGGGCCCTAGAGACAACGCCCCGTCCCTCATCTAGGCTGTGGCCTTTCTGTTCAATCTGTCAAGGTGCCTGGGGGTTGAACAGTCCAAAAGGACTTCCTGAAAGAGGAGGCAGTTGAGGAAAAGGGTTCTGCTTCCTTCTGCCCACACCAGCCCGCCCGGTATTGGGGACGGGGGTCAGGGGGGAGGCTGTAAGTTGGGAGTTTATTGAGCACTTACGATGTACCAGGCTGTGGACGATCAGAGGAGGCAGGGACCGGAGAAAGGCGTCCGAGCAGGCCTGGTGCGGCAGCCTGTCATCAGCTCCGAGGACCCTGAGATGCTCACAGTGCAAGGAGCCAGGCCTCCCTCTGCTGCCGGAACGAAGGATCAACAAACCCCTCACTCAAACGTGCAAGATTTCCCACAGGCCTCCAAGCAACACACGCAACTCAGAACGAGCAAACGGAGGCTCGGGAGCACCGACACCTGCCAGGTCAGGTTCAAATCCCAGCCCTTCCACTCCGTGTGACTCCGGGCAAGTCCCTTCCCCATTTGGCCTCAGTTTCCTTCATTGTAAAGTCACTGGCTAAACTGTTCTGGGACATACTGAGGTGCAGGGAGCCGCGAGTCTGGGGTCCTCTCTGAAGGCGGGAAGAAGAAACACACCCTGCCCCCATCACGTGATCACACGGCCCCGCCCCCATCACCTCCTCTTCCGTCACCTCCCCCGCCCCGTCCGGCCCCGCCCACAACATCTCCCGTCCCTCCCCGGAAGTGACAAAATATCTTCCGGGTCTACGCTGCAGGTGTCTGGAGGCGCGAGGTCCCCCGTGCGCGGGCGCGCTGCGGCCGCGCCTGCGCAGTGCGGCCGGGCCGACGGGACGGGGTCACCCTGAGGGACTGCAGGTCGCCGCGATGCTGAGGAGGTTCCTGGGCCCGCGTTACCGGTCGCGGATTGCTCAACACCAAAGGCA